CATGGTGCCCCCCCCCCCCCCTGACTCATGTGTGCAGACTTTTGTCGCCTACAACGCCGACGTCAACGACAAGGGCCACGTGTGCCACTTCACACGCGGGGCGTACAAAGCCAGCCTCAAGGCGTCCGCAGTCGGTGCGTGAGATGAGACCCGACAGACAGACAGACAGACAGACACACCGTCGTCGCGCGCTGACTGACCTGTCATGGCATGGCATGGCATGGCCACGTCTGTCTGCGTCTCTTCGTCTGTGCAGGTGCGGCGGCCCTGTGGCATCGGCCTGAGATGCTCACGTTTCTCCTGGACAACACAGTAGCCGACCTGTCGGTGCTCTCTGAGGTGGAGGTCAGGCCCGCACAAACCGCAAAGGCCAAAGGTGAGTGACCACGCTCACCCAGACAGACAGACAGACAGACTCACCCACTCTCCTCTGGTCTGTCTGTCTGTCTGTCTCTGTCGTCAGGCACGTTCCGCTGGGCGGAGGGTTTGAATCTGCTGCAGCTGGTGTGCATGGGTCCGCCGCCCAAGACGGCCCCAAAAGACAAGAAGGACGAGCCCGCAGCCACCCCCACACCCACCCCAAACCGCAGCGCATCCATTGCCCCCAAGGAGCCCAGCCCGCCCGCCACACCTAAGGAGGCTCCAGACGGTGAGTAGCTGAGACCCACTGACCAACGACTGACTAGTAGTCACACCCCCCCCCCCTCGGCCGTGTGTTTGTGTGTGCGTGTGTTTGTGTATGCAGAGGCCACCCCGGTGCTGAGTGCGGCCGCCAAGCGGAAGGCCAAGAAGGCCGCAGCCAAGAGCAAGGCAGCACCAACCAAAAGGGGAGGCACCTTGACTGCAGCAGCAGCAGCAGCAGCAGCCAAGGACCACGCCGCCCCCGCCCCCGCCCCACCACCATCTTCATCGCCCGCACCCGCACCCCAGGAGCAGCCAGCACAAGAAGAGGCCGACATCAAGCTCGACGAGGCAGTAGACGCATCACCTCCCCCTCCAGCAGTGGTGGACGAGGCGGCAGAGCGTGCCATGCAGGCCAGGCGGGAGGCCATCCAGGAGCAGGTGCGCCTCAGGCGGGAGGAGCAGCAGAAACGAGAAGAGGCGGAGAGGCAGCGGGAGGAGGACCAGCGGCAGCAAACCGCTCTCGCCACTCTCGAGGCGCTCGAGGCCCACGGGCTCATCAGGGACCTGCTGCCGGACCATCCGCAGCCGGAGGCCACCACCACCACCGCCACCGTCCCCACCGATGGCCACCAGGAGCAGCAGCAGGATGGCGCGTTCTTCTCATTGCAGCGGCGGGATAAGGAGGGCAACACGGCTCTGCACCTGGCGGCCCGGCACGGCTGGTCGAGCCTGGTCGACTGGCTGCTCAAGCGGGGCGTTGCAGTAGATGCCGTCAACATGGCCAATGAGACGGCGCTCGACCTCGCTCGCAAGAACAAGCGATCGGTGAGGCACGCACGCCAGACAGTAGGCGGGCAACAGGGCCTCCCACGTGTGTGATGTGATGGCGTCTTGTGTGCTCTGCTGTGCAGGCGTGTGAGGCGGTCTTGACGGAGCACCTGTCTGCCCATCCCCAGCAGGCGGCGGTCGACGACCTGTTGGCGGAGGAGACACTCAGACGCGAGCGAGACGAGAAGAAGCGCGAGAAGGCCCGGGAGAAGGTGCGCAGACACACCCAAACCCAGTCACACAGGCCCCCCACACACGACAGACAGACAGACAGACAGACAGAGGTTTCCTTTTTTGTGTGGTGTAGAGGAAGCGTCAGAAGGGCAAGAAGCGCGACACAGCCGAAGGAGCTGAAGGAGCCGACGGCGACCAAGAGGAGCCGCAGGCGGCCCCAGCGGAGGAGGAGGAGGAGCTCGACGACCATGAACAGGCCGAGGCCCCCCAGGAAGACCATGACATTGACGAGGACGACCAGCAAGAGGCTCCTGACGCCGGCGAGGCTCACGAGGCTGAGGAGCAGCCACCACCACTGCCACCACCGGATGGCGAGCATGATGAGGCTGAGGAGCCGCCACACGAGCATGATGATGAGCGGGAGGCGGAGGAGGAGGAGGAAGAGGAGAGGCCGCCGTCAGTCGAGATCGGCATCCCTGAGGAGGCGGGCATCGGACACGACGGGCCATCGCCATCACCACCAGAAGCCCAGCCCGAGGCTGGCAACGCGCAGCCACAGCCACCGCCCCAGCAGGGCGGGCAGAGCGAAGCGGGAGAGGGCGAAAGGGATGCGGCGGCTCAAGAGGAGGAGCACCACATCGACCAGCCTCACGTGGCTGGCGAGGACGCTCCCGAGGCCCCGGTAGCTGACCAACCGACCCCCGAGGTCATCGTGCAGGAGGCCCAACCACGAGCTGCTGCCGCGCCGCCCATCGATGAGCCACAGGCGGCACCCCACCAGCACCAAGAGCAAGGGACACCACACGAGGAGGCGGGCCCCGCCCCTGCCCCCACCGCGACCCCCCCTGCGGCCCCTGTCCGAGCGCGAGCCGCCCCCTCCTCTCGGACTCGGCGGCACCACATCCACCAGGCCCCGCCACACACAGCGTCTGACTCGTGGAAGCTGACGGCAGAGGAGCGCGAGCAGCTGGCGGCGCTGCGTCGCGAGGAGAAGGAGCTGACGGAGCATGTGCTGCAGCTGGAGCGGCGCAAGAACCTCAGCGACATTCAGATCCGCGAGTACCGGCAGGAGCTGGAGCAGCACAAGGCTGACGTACGTCACATCAGATGAGATGAGATGACAGAGGGACGCATCGCATGTCAAGGGCGAATGGACGCTCTCTCTCTCTCTCTCTGTGTGTGTGTGTGTGTGTGTGCGTATATGTGTAGCTGGCGAAGCTGCTCAAGGACTCGGAAGAATGCAGGAAAAAGTGAGCACGCCCGCACAGCACAGCACAGCACAGCACAGCACAAGACAACAAGCAGACCGACAGACACGAATGACATGACATGACACACAGTCAATCCACCTTGTGTCTGTCTGTCTGTCCTCCCTCCCCCTCCCTCCCTCTCTCAGACACGCCGAGCAGGTCAGGCTCAAGGAGATAGCCCTCGCAAAGCACAAACAGCTCTCCAAAGAAGTGGTAACCACAAACGGCAGACAGCACACAGCACGCAGCACAGAGGAGGCAGGGCCATCCCTCTCTCCTTCTCTCGCCTCTCTCCAGAAAGAGCTTGAGGCCCGCGAGAAGGCCCGCAACGAAGCCGAGAGACGCGAGCGTCGCGAGGAGCTGGAGAGCCAGCAGCGGAAGCGGGCCAGTGCCAAAGCGAGCGGCCCCTCCTACTGCCCATCACCCTCATCGCTGCCCCCCAAGCCCCACGTGTCGCTGGCGAGCCTGAAGAGCGGCAGCCGCTACCTGCCCGGCCAGCCAGTCAAGCACAACGTGCTCATGGGCCCCAACCACGAGATCTACGAGCCCATATCTGACACACAGCCGGGCCGGTCCTTCTGGCGCAACCCCAACAAGCCACATGAGGACGGCAGGGACTTCTTGGCTGGTGGTGGGGCGGGTGGCGGTGATGTGGACGACGGTGGCGGCGGTGAGGTGGACAGCGCCGACTATGAGCTGTGGGACGACGAGACGCGTGCGATCTATGACCGCTCGATGGGCGAGTACTCGGCCATGAAGGCAAAGCTCGACGAAATGAAGCAGCAGCTCCAACATGAGAAAAGGGTCGGTCGGCTTGGCTTGTGGGTGGGATGGGCACATAAAGGGGTGCGGATGTGTGTGTGTGGTGTCGTGTGTGGCTTACCGCTCGCTTGATTGATTGATTGATCAGGTCAAGAAGATTGTGGACGACCTGTACGCCGACATTGAGATCGCTTTGCTGACCCGCCCCAAGCCGCCGAATGTGTCGGACAAGGAGCACCGGAAGACAGTCAAGGAGGAAGGTACGTTCGTGACACACACAATGACGACTGACTCTCTCTCTCTCTCTGTGTGTGTGCGTGCGCCGTGTCCGTTCCATGCAGTGATGATGAGCAAGCTCTCACCCGAAGGCCGCGAAGCCGCCAAGAAGTAAACCGACACCCACACCTTCACACACACACAAATGTGCCCGCCTGCCCACCTGAGCAGTTAATTGTGGTGGGTGTGTTGCTGTTGCTGGCAGGGTTCAAGCGGCGATCCGCGAGCGCTACGCGCAGGGCAACAGGGAGCTGACGCTCGCACACAACGAGCAACACGCTCAGCAGATCAGCCTCTTCGAGGTCACTCACTCACTCAGACTCAGCACACACATTAGATGGATCCACCCATCCACCCATCCGCTTACTTATGATGTGCCTTCCTTATGTGTGTGGTCAGAGGGGCGGCCGCATGATCAAGGAAGTGATGCAGCTGCGGCGAGGCCAAGACCAGCAGCGAGAGGGAGAGGGAGGGGGAGAGGGGGCCGCTTCAATCGACGGCGGTATGATAACTAAGGGGCGCTTGCCGGAATACGAGCGTCACTGTGTGGAATATGTCTGTGTGGTGCAGCCGCCCTTTCGGCTTGTTTGTCCAGGTACAGCGACGAGGAGCTCGACGAACTGCGGACCGTTATGCACACGTAGGCCTCGCGAGAGGGAGGGAGGGAGGGAGCCGGGCCTCCCCCCAGCTGTCCATTGTTGACAATGGCTCTGTGTGTGTGTGTGTGGTGTGCTGTGCTGTGCTGGTGGTGCAGGTGCGTTGACGTCCTCAAGAGGCGGTGAGGTGAGCCACGCTGGCTGATGGTGGCTGACAAGTTGGCAGGTGGTGTGACAGCCAGTGTTTGCGACTTCGGTCCTTTGTCCTTTGTGTGTGGGCATGGTTTTGGCGGCCTGGACGAATGAGTGAGCCTCTCTGGTGGGTGGGCGAGGACAGGCAGGTGTGTATCCGTCAGGGATGGATCGATGAATGGACGCATCGATTGCATCAGACACATACACACAGATGCGTACAGACATGCGATTGCTCCCCGTCCGTCACTCCACATGTGTATATGTCTGTCATCATCAGAGCTGACACATAGACACACCAGTCATCCCATCCATCCATCTGTCCGTCTGTCGGTCGGTTGGTCCACACACCCGCTGGCTCATGGTGCCTGCCCTCCCCCCTCCCCCGCCCCTCCGCCTCGCCAGTTAGGTGTGGGTCGGCCGCTCAGTCGATGAGTGCGATCCGCCGTCTCTTCCTCTTCAAGTTGTTGGTGCCCTCACCGGCCCCCGAACCCACAGCCGCAGCCACAGCAGGGGCCTCATCCGTCATGGCCACCTCACTGCCGCCACCACCAGCAGGAACGGCAAATGGGAGCGGCGGGCAGAGGGCCGCTGACACACACACACACACACACACAGAAGGACAAGAGCCATCCCCCCGTCGTGTGTGTCACTCATGCGTCCCCACATGCGAAGAGGTCATCGTCATCGTCCATGTCGTTGGGCGAGAAGCTGAGCTTAGGGGCGGCAGCGGCGTCATATGGGTCTCGGGCGTCTCTGTGTGGCGCCATGGGCTCGTCAGCATCGCCATCGTCACAGCAGGGGGGAAAGGCCGGCGGGGGGCCGTGGAAGGGGTCTCTGTCCTCATGGTGCTCATGGTGCTCATCCACGGGGTAGCCCATGACGATGAGGGGCACTGGCGGGGTGGGGTAGGGCTGGCGGTGGGGTGGGAGTGGTGGGCCATACAGAGGGGGAGGCAATGGATGGTGCTGCTGCTGGTCGGGGGGATGCTCTGCAGGGGCTAAGTCGGTGTAGTTGGCCAGGGAGGGGCCGTACTGAACACGGACACAGGCGGAGGAGAGAGATGTGATGTGTCTCGTGTGTGCGTGTGTGCGTGTGGGCGTGTGTTGTGATATCGGTCGCTCACCGCGGCGCCCTGCAGCAGATGGGTCAGAAACACACGCACCGGCAGCCTGACCGACAAACAGCCAGACAGACAGACAGACAGGGGATGGTTACACACACACAGCAGGAGAATGCCTTGTGTGTGTGTTTACTTGAAGGATTCGAGCACGGCCGCCTCATCGAACGTCTTGCGATCGGGAAAGAAACACTTGAGCTTCTTACGCTGGCAGCAAACCCACCCACACACATACACACAGAGGGAATGTGTGTCTCTCTGTCTCTCTCTCTCTGTGTGTCCACTGCACCGACCTGTCCGGCAGATGGGCCCTTCCTGGGCTGGTCGTACTTGGCGCGGAACATGTTGCGGGTGAAGCGCGCCTTCATCAGCTGCCTGGACACACACGCCACACACACGCCACACACACACATCCATATGTAGGCGTGTGTGGTCGGTGGACCGCTCGCGCACTTGTTGATATGATTGACGTCGTCATCAGTCATGGCGGCGCCCACGTCCACCCCGGCCTCCGAGAAGACGGGCGCGCGCAGCAGAGAGGTAGAGGCGCCCTCGGGGGGCTCGGCGAGGCGCGGGAACCAGTTCTGACGCACACATGCAGTGAGGGAGCACATGAATGCCACACGCGTCGAGGAATGCCGGGCGGCGGAAGGGTGGGGGAGGTGGGGTGACCACTGACCATGAAGAGCGATGAGAAGGGTTTGTTGGCGAACTCGCTCCACCGACACACATCCTGCAGCCATCGCCATACACACAGATGGACGGATGGGTGGGCATCATTTCTGTCACAGAGGTAGACGTCTTTACCGTGACACTGACGAGGAAGTTGAGGGGGCCGTAGGTGTAGTAGAACTGGTCGCCGACTTGCGTGACGATGCGCGTGAGCAGCACATTGGAGTCCGACATGGCCCGGTGGATCTTGGCGCTCGGCGGCAGAGACCGAACTCACCACCACCGAACTGCACCGTTCAATCCATCCACACAACACACAAACACAGAGAGAGAGACGGAGAGAGTGAACACTCACTGTGGACACCTTCCCGCCTCATCTCACCCCACCCACCTCATACTGAAGAGCCAGCAGCATGGCGCGGTGCAGCGAGTAGAGGCAGAACCCCGCCCACACCGTGAGGGTGCGCTGCAGCAGCAGGGGACCGCTGCCCGCCCCAATCTCACAGGAGAACGTCAACTCAACTGCACAACACAACACATACAGCCTGCGGCAGACGGTGGGAGTGTGTGGATGCGTGTGTACCGAGGTCGTATGTGTGGAGCGTGTCGGCATCTTTATTGGGCTGCGGCTGTTGCTGGACGGCGGCCTGTGTGGCGACGGGGAGGGTGGTCTGCTGTGTGGAGGCGGGGCTGGCCGTGGTGGCTGTGGTGGCGTCTTGCAAGAAGGCGAGTATAGGGTCCATGATTGCAGCGGATGCAGGCAAAGGCACCTCAGGCACCTTCTCGTACTCGGCCTTCAACACAATCTCACAACCCAACACCTCCTGTATTCGTGCAATTCATGATGGCGTCCATGTGCGATGGCCAACGGTGACGCTTTGTGCCCATCTACATACCTGGATGGTTTTGATTGCGATGGGCCCCTGCTGCTTCCCCCCATCCGCCGCACCCTCACCCTCACCATCACACACACCACCAACATCGTCGCCTTTGTCGGGCCGGCAGCGTTTCTTGGATGCTGCCTTTGCCTTTGGTGGGGGAGGGCTGGCGAGCAGCCGCTTGATGCGCTTGTCCTTGAGCACCTGCCGCAGCTGCACGAGGCTCATGGATGGCAGCACGATGGCCGCGGGGTCCTTAAGCATGTCGCTGTCATGGCCGTCACTGGAACGGGAGGATTAGCCGAGAAGGGGAGAAAGGGAGATGGGGTCAGACGGAGCAGGGCTGCTGCCAGCCATCAGTAACACAAAGCAAAAACGCGGCAATCCCTTTTCGTTTTTCGGGTTCGTAAACTTAATTTGTCTGGGGGCGTCTCCTTGGGACCCCCCTTTGACAATATTACCTTTGACGCTGGCTGCTTTGTCCCTTTCCCCTCTCCGCTGTCTGAGCAATATTGCAGCCGGCTGCCTGCCACTGGGGGCTTTGCCACGAGGCCTTGTGACACAACGCGTCGCACCAAGCCAGGAAGCGCCGCAGAGCCTGCCGCCTTAAGGTCTCCGGTGCCGAAGCCTCTTGGGTGTGACTTCCCTTCACCATTTGAGTTGCCTGCGGCTTTCGAGACGGTGAGAAAGACGAGGCGGCCGGGGGCTGACTGCCACGCCGTCACAGTGTGCCATTAGGATGGGATGACTCTGTTCCGTTTGACATGTCATTGCAGATGGCATCCGTCATGCCGGCCCTTCTGCTTAAGGCCCTGGTGGTCGCCTCCTGCGTCGCCTTGGCCACTTGCAAGAACATCCAGCCCCAACCGTGCAAAGTCCGCATGACAGCCTACTACACCGAATTGACGGGAACCAAAAAAACGGTGAGACGTCGCACAAGATGGCCTTACGACGCTTCTGTGTCGTCTGCACACAGGCACAGACGTACGGACACTACATGTCCTATCGGATGGAGTGCCCACTCAAACAGACCTGTGTCGTCAACAAGGTGAGCTAGGAATCGCTAGATGCGGGAGCGTTTCATATCTGCCCTTTGTCTGTCTCTCCGGACGACAGATACGGATGGCCAGGGGATCAGATGACAAAGGAGAGGGCACATGCGAGGCATTGAAAAACACTGCAACTCAGCTGGTGTGATGTCTGTCGGCTTGAACGGTCCGGAGACCTGGTGCATGGCCGAGAAAGTGGTGAGAAGGAGCAAGCCACAGCGACTCAGATGTGCTTGCAACAACAACATGTCCCATCCTGTGTGTGTCCTTGCCTTGTCTCGTGTGACACAGGAGTTCGTCTCACCGTAGAGTTCGTTCCAGGGCGCTGACCTCATGTCAACGGAGGGGTTTGGCCACGGAGAGGTTTTGACCATCAAAATCTGGCCTGGACACAAGGAGTGGAACGCCGACAGAAGTGAGTCAGACTCTCAGACAGACAGACAGACAGACAGACGGATGAGAATACCTGCCGACCCCCCCGCCCGCCGTTTGCATTTTAAACTACTTGATCGCTACCTACACACATGCACGGATGTGTGTCTTCTATCTGCTATGCAGAGGCTGCCCTCAAGGCAGAGAAAAGGATCCAGTGGGAGGAAGAGTAGATGAGCCTCATGTACGGAGCCCACTAGCTGACGGCTGAGTGACTGAGTGGACAGAGCTGGACTGGCTGCTATTTCTTTTCACGACTGTGTGCGAAAGGGGGATCGATCAAGAAGGATCACACCGAGACAGACAGACAGACAAACTCAGAGAGTCGGGGTCAGTGAGCGCATGACAGACCTCACACGTTTTCGTTGAACGAGCGGACCAAACAAGTCGGGCAGTCGGCCTCACCGTATGGACATTCCACACCCATACACGGACAGCTGTGTGTGCCTGTCGGCCGCAGATCGACACACACACAGAGAGATCCCCAACGGATTGACCGCATTGTCATCGCAGACAGGCCAGGTGCCCCGCTCAAACAGGCAGGCGCCCAAACACTCAGCGTCCCACACCCGTCTGCACGCCGCCTGCAACCACAACAGTTGCTAGTACTGTCTGGCTCTCTGCCGCGCATCGCCGAAAAACGACGAATCGCTCGGTCAGGCCAGAAAAACGCTCAGCCCTTTGCTGTCCGTCTCCCCCTCTCCGGCCAGATTGCAGCTCTTCCGGCTCCATTACATTGACGCAACACATCTTCACTCGACATCACATCCGTTCACCAATGCCTTATGTCTCTTCATGTAGACGGTCTTAGAGCCTCCCGCCCTCGCCCCCCACACTGACTGCAGTAGCTATCTAGATACCTCTACAGAAAGAAGAAGCATTAAAAGCCTCCTTGGTCCTCTCAGGCAACGCTGCCAGGAACGCTTCTTAACACCCAGAAAAGGGCAGCTGACTGGCAAGGCAAACACTCATATGGCATGCAATCAATTCCAGCTAGCTTCCTTCCTTCATATCTTCTCACGCATCTGTCTGTCTGCCATCCACTCACTCACTCCCCGCGACCCGGCGATCCATCGGTCAAGTGCCGCCGATCCATTCCTCATTCATTGTGCTGCCGATGCCTCTGAAGGGGTCCCACCGCACGTCTCGGTCCACCTCCTCGTTCATCGTGTCGGGGTTGCTTTCCCAAGACCCGTACCCGCCAGACATGCCCACCAGCTCCATCCCAAATGGCACCCGAGGAGGGGTCTCATACCCCCATATCCACTTGCGGCCGGGCGTGTCGGCGGGGAAACACATGAGTGCGATCATCTCCACGGTGTTGACGCACCGAACCCGGGGGTGCTCGATGGCCAGCAGCTTCTGATCGGCGTTCGAGTAGCCCCACTTGGCGAAATACAGCCGGGCCAAGTCCAGCCGCGGGTCGGCTGCGCACTGGAGAAGGGTTTCAAGGCGGTCCTCAACGAAGTGCATGGGCACGCCTTGGATGCCCTGCTCCTGCTGCAAGTTGTATAGAATGTCTGGCTTGCTCCCCTGACCCAGGCCGTAGATCTCGATAAGCCCCGCGGCAAGTGACACGTTGAGGCCGGCGTGTTCGAGCAGCAGCCGGATGTACTTGTCCTGCTTGGTCGACACGATGTGCACCTTCTTCTCGAAGATCTCGGTCACGTAGCGGATGATGTCGATCATGCCGTAGTTGAAGTCGTTGTGCGCCAGCCAGTCAGTCACGTTGCGGGCAATCCACTCGTCACGCGCGCTGCTGAAAGCAGCCATGAGCTCCTCTTTCGAAGCGCCGTATCTGTCCATCAGACCGTCCCGGAAGGCCGGACCCCACTCGCTCTCCAGCATGCGCACTCGCCACGGGAAGTACATGGGTTTGTCGTCGATGCTGTAGCCGTACTGCTCCTCTACCGCCAGCATCTCCTCCACCAGCCACCGCATCACCAGCAGCGTCTCATAGCCCGTCTCGATCACCGGCCGGGCGTGACGCACCCGTTCCATCAGCCAGAAGGGCATCGTGTCCCAGCGAAACCTCTCAGGCCACAGAGCCTTGCACGCAGCATAAGCCGACAGCATGCTCTCCTTGTGGCTGGTGCAGATGACCCCGTCGAAGTCGAGGGCGAAGATCTCGGGCGGCACGGCCATGAACCGAGGGCCGGGCAGCTCCTCGCCGGTCAGGGGGTGGTACCTGATGGGCATCTTCCTCTCCTCCGGTGGCTTCCTCTCGAGGTCGGGGATCCTCATGCCCTTGCAGAAGTCATAGTTGTACGAGTTCCACGGCGTCCGCCTGTGGGCGGGGTACAGCGGTATCCGCTGGGACCCGGGGGGGATGTTGGGGTCGTGGCGCACCGGCGGCTTCGGGATCTGATCTTGTTCGCCGTCCATCGACACGAGGGATCTACGGGAGCAGCACCGCCGAGCCGCATGGTGGGATGACGACAGTAGCGGACGCCTTGGAACGAATGCATCAGACGGCACGAACAAAAGCAGCAGGGAGGGAAGGAAAGGGCACATAGGTATCGGCAGCATGCGGCCTGACGGCTGAAGTCCTCTGTCCCATGAAGGTATTATCGGAAGTGCGAGCTGAAAAACTAATTCGTTACGCGAAACGAAGGGGGAGGACAATTGGCCTCAGGATAAGTTGAGAATGAGAGTGTGACTCTGACTCTGACTCTGCTGCACGTCGTGAATACCACTGCACCTGCCATTTTCGAGAACGTAAGGACCGCTTTCGCCACGAACCCCGCCACGAACCACTCCCACCACCTCACGAGGGCGTCCTTCCTGCCGTTTGCGCGTGATACATCGTCATGTGTGTGGAGCGAGGGACCTCTGACGCTTGTTCACATCAGGTCAGTCACCTCGACACAACACAAACACACAGATGGGTCTCGGACTGGTTCGCCGTGATTGACCGACGGCGTGCGTGCGTGTGTGCTGTCTGGTGTGGGTGTGCGTGCGTGTGGGATGCAGGGGCGTTAGATGCAGGAGCGTTGTGATGTTGGACGGACAGCCAGCCTCACGTCAGCGAGTGGCCCTGCAGCTGCGAGTTTAGAAGCCGCTGAGAAGGAGGAGTTCCTCAGGATTGCCGACGCCCTCAACCGCGTACCACAGCACCCGCTGCATGCCCACGTGCACGGAGCGCTATTGTAAGACGACATCACACACGAGACACAGCCGCAATCATCCAGTGGAGCCCGTTCTCACTCTCCTGTCGGTTCTTCTGCCTGCGTGCCTTTCGTGCAGTTTTCTGGAGCGTGGCAACAGTCAGCGGCCCTTCCGTGTTATGACCAATCGTCCGGAAGGCGCAACACATCCCACACCGTCGCCGTTGACCCAGCACCCGCCCTCTCCCCCTCCTATCGTCGAGGAAACACCGTCTCACGACCAGCCTCTCGCGCAGCAGCAGGCCGGTCCGTCATCAGCAGTGCCGCCCGCAGCCCAGGCAGCGAAGAGGCCAGAGCCAGAAAGCGACGCTCCCAAGCCGGCGGCCGCGAGGGAGTTTCGGAGCATCCAGCTGCCAGAAGGTGCGGTGAGGCGCACCAGCCGGGCGCCGCTGACCCCGCCGCCCGTCATGAGCCCATCGGTTCTCAATCAGGACGTCGATACGGAGAGCGCCGACAGCTCTCTGTCGCATGGTGGCTCGTCTGACAACTCGGAGGACACCCCGTCTCCCCCTCCCCAGCACGCCGTCGTGTCCTTCACCGAGCGCGAGACCATGAGACACATGATGGCCGTGTCCACGGCCATTGGAGGAGAAGACGGCGGCGGCGGCAGCGGCGGGATCCAGATGAGCGCCATCGACTTGGCGGTGGGGCAGAAGGCACTCATCGGCGACGAGGATCTGCGCGGCCTGCGGCTGTCGTTCCCGTACATGCAGCGCCGGCTGCGGCAGAGTCTCGTCGGCATGGCCAAGAAGGGCAAGGCCGGGGCGCCATACACCCAGGCTATGACCCCCGACGGCATGGCCACGGCATGTCCGATGGTGACCGGCACGGGAGTCCCCCTGCCCCAGCCACTGCCGGCGGCTGTCACACAGGCAGCAGCCGAGGGACCCGCACAGCCAGGTGTGCCGGGGAGGCAGGCGACGGGCATGGCTGGAGGTCAGGAGGGCAGTGTAGGATTCCTGAGCACCATGGGCATCAACGGCTCTCGGCCGGCGGCGGACGTCACGGATCGGCCCACCCCGATGAGCGAGGGGACCAGCACGCCTCAGGGGGACAAGGAAGATGGGAAACAGCAGCAACAGCAGCAGGAGGGTGGCGGAGACGGCAGCAAGGGCGGGAGCACCTCAACGGGTAGCGACAGCAGCGGGAGCACTACCCGTGATAGGGATGTGGAGGCCAAGGTCTGCTGCCCGCCCCCCTCGCTGAGGTCATCTGCGCCGCCTCTCGCCCGCCCGCCTCCAGATGAGGGTGACGACACGGCCAAGGGGGAGAAGGGCAAGGGCGAGGGCAAGGCTGGGAGGGAGGTTGAGCGGGATGAGACGACGCCCGAGTTCTCGAGGTTCGGCTTCCGTTTAGTGCCGAGTGACACGCCAGACGACCGGTCGCCTGAGCCGCATCGCACCGCAGCCGCCCCGTCGCCCCCGCCCCCGCCCCCTCCCCCTGCCCCTCCCTTACCTGCAGAGGCTTTGAGAGACCGTGCGAGGGGTGCGTCTGTGTCATCTTACCAGTCGGATGTCGACTCACTGGCCATATCGGTGTCGGAGGTGTCCGTAGCGTCCGGGGCCGTCAGGGTGATTGAGCAGGAGGTGTCCGTCTCCCTTTCGTCTCAGTCGTCCTGTCAGTCGCTGCCCACTGGCTCCTCGCCCGAGCACTCGGCCCGCAGCAGATCAGCGTCCCCTGAACCACCCCCTGCACCTGCACCTGCACCCACCGGTTCACACCCACCCCAGCAACCCCCACTCCTACCCCTACTGACGAGATCCGATGCAGACGAGATGGCCTTCGAGAGACGAATGGATGAGCAGGCCGTCCCGCCACCCCCACCACCCTTCCCTCCCCCCGCCAAGCACCAGCCGCCTCCCCCACCCCCGCCCCCACCCCCTCCCCCTCCACCAGCAGTGGAGCCGGTTCTGCCCGGACCGCCCACTCAGTCCATGTCGACCCCTGCCTTCCAGCGGCGCGGCGGG